AATGAGAGCAATGAACGATGTGCAAAAGTGGACTATGCTCCTTAAAAAGAACAAAGAATTTCAAACCTCCACAGAGGATCTGAAGGTAACAGCCTATACAGCGAAAACCCACATTTACTAATAGAGAACCAATTAAGTAATCTAGTGGTTTCCAAAGCTGAAAGTAAGCCTTAAAAATTCCTAACTGTTGAACTAGTGGTTACAGAAAAGGCCAGGCTTAGCTACCTAAGAACAGCAAGCTACATTTACTTATATTCCCAGAATATTTTCTTTGAAATGGGGGAAGGATGAGTTGTGCTTAATAGAAACTAGCTATCTTTTCCACGTATTTTCTCTATGTTTCTCTCAATTTTCAAATATTCACTGTGTCTGTTGTGTGCCAGGCACACTATAAAGGATGAGTAAGTTCCAGTCCCACAGTGTTTGTGTCAGATGGCTCTACCCATTTTTAAGTACATAGTACTATTCAGAGGCCTCAAAGAGATTCTACCAGCAATATATAAAATACTTAGTTTCTGATTAGTTTACTGTAATTAGAAAACAACATTTGAAAGCCACAAACTTTCAGCCCTTTTGCTGCCACAAGAATAGCCACCAGAAGCCTTTTAGAGAAGAGGACTTGATTTCTGAGGAAAACTGTGGTGTAGCTTTTAACAGCCTTTTTGGGAAAAATTCCAAAACTAAATAAAAATATGTAAAAAGTATGCTTTATAAAGAATACTGTGAAGTGCAGTCAGAAGAATTTTGGCTTATAATGAACCCAGGCTTTTGAAAACATGGAGTCTAAAAGGAATAAAAATTGATTCTTAATAATGGGCTCTTAGGATGACAGTTACAGTGGTGCTTTGAGTTTGTTGTTATAGTTGTTGACTATAAGAAAAACACATGTTCCTATCAAAGCATGTAAAACTAATGAACACACTCTATATGCAGGGCTAAATATATACTCTCTTGAAGTTGTACTCATTAAAACAACTATCAATGAATTTGTTAAACAAAACAAAAATTCAAAGCAATAGTGGCTTCAGAGCTATTAACTCTGGAAGCCTGAAATGTAGCAAAAATATAAAGGATGGAGATAACGCACATGACTGGCTTAGTTTGTCTAAATATAATAGTTCTTTTGACACCAGGCAAAGGAATTAGGGAAAGGT